GTTTCCTTTTTCTGCTCCTTTTTTATCGTGCATCTTTTTCATTTTTTAAGTCCTTATATTGAATCCATATGGTCTTTTATTTCTTCTGTTTTTCAGATGTTTTTCGCTAGCCCTATGTGGGCTGAGCTTAACTGAGCTTAACGATGTCAGAGCTCCCTCCCTACGCTGCTTAGCAAAAAAGCTACCGGAGATAGTCCTTGGTTCTAGGGCAGATTCGACTACTCTCACCTACCTCAACAGTTTTAAGCGATGGCGTGCTTGGGCCAACAGATTTCCTGAGGTCGCAGTGCTGCTCCGGCTTACGTTTCTTCATACCTGCTCAGTGTTCTCCAGGCTTCTAGTTCTCCTGTGCCGGTCCAGAACGCCTTCTATAGCATCCGCTGGGCTCATGATTTTGCTGGTTTCGACTCTCCTACCAACCATACACTTCCCCAGAAGGTCGTGGAGTCCGCTAAGAGAAGGCTATCACACCTTACTTCCAAAAAGCTCCCCATCACACCCGAAATTTTACAAATGTTTTTTCAGAGTCTCGATGGATCTTTGGTGGACACGAGATTCATCTCCATGGCGTTACTAGCCTTTGCTGGGTTCTTAAGATTTGACGAATTGGCTAATCTGAAACTTAAAGATTTAGCTCTGCATGACACTCATTTTGAGCTTTTATTGAAAGTAGTAAAACTGATCAATTTCGCAAGGGCGCTATTGTCCCTATAGTCAAGTCTGGCACGGATTGTTTTCCCCTGGAGTAATTTAGAGAAGTACTTATCGTAAGCCACACTCACTTTACCGACATCTTCCCAAAGTGGAGACGACTATTTGTTCGGAAATATTCAAACCATGTCTGGCTCTCACAAGACATTTGGTGCCTGGGCGGATGGACTACAAGATGTAGAGAAGTTTTATTGAAGAAGACTGCAGACGTAGGCTGAGATCCTAAGTCTTTCTCTTGGCACAGCTTCAGAAGTGGCGGTGCATCTGCCGCCGCTAATAGTGGTATCTCCGATAGAATGTTTAAGCGCCATGGAGATGGCGTTCGGAAAACGCTAGGATGGTTACTTTGCAGACTCGTTAGAGAACCGATTAGCGGTCTCAATGTCTCTTGGACTGTATTGTTTCCCGTTCTTTGTTTTCTCAGCCGCTCCTTAGTTCGAGCTGCACACCCATTCCCGTCTCTTAGTCGTGAATATAAATAGGAAATGTATTTACATTCGGCGGAGCTAAACTTAGTGGCAGCGACAGAGAATGTAAATACTTTCCTATTGGTATGAACGCACGTGAGCCGCTATGGCGTTAATTGACTCTATTGTTGTAAGATATGTAAGGTTTTGACAGTTGTAATGTATTCATCTCAGCTCTCGAACTATCAAATTTTATCTTTATATCTTACTTTATTCATCTATCGATTGATTTTTTACCTTTAACCCCCAGAGGTTGTGCGACCGCATCGGTTGGGGAATACGTTCCCAATTTTTACCCATTGGGTTTTTTGGGTTTTCGTATCCGCCGGCGCACATGAATAGTTTAGCCTGAGTGACTTTATTTAGGAATATTTGTATATTATTCTTTAGTTATGATGTTGAACTTTGTATGTTATTTGGACGGCATTAAACACTCAGGCTCCATAGTTCGAGCTTCACACCCATTCCCGTCTCTTAGTCGTGAATATAAATAGGAGTAATTGAATTATACCTTGTATTATTTTAGTCCTTTTTTTAGTTTTTAATTGTTGTATAAAGAGATTTAACGTTATTTAATTTTAGATAGGGATGTATAGACTGTCGGTTATGCAGTAGCTGAATTAATTACTTGTGTTATTTTATCATTATTATTATTATTATCCACCGTACCGTTTTCTACAGCTACCCCAAAACTGAAGGTCTGAATGGGGTTTAGTGTTTAGCGTTATTTGCCCTTTATTTTTAGTGTTGTTTCCGAAGAAAGTATCGTTAAAGGTGTTTTGGGGGTTCTTCAGACATATTCGGCAATGGACAAACCTCCTCGTTAGTCTTCGGATATTTTCGGTAGCCTTCGGAAATCTTCTGAATTAAATTGTCGTAAAATGGCCGAAAACTCCTTGATATACTAAACAAAAAATACAGTCAACTCTTGCCTTGCCGACAACCTGCTATAACGGACACCTCGATAAAACGGACAGCAGTTAATTTCCCTCCGAAAACAAATTACAGACATTTGACTGAAATAAACTCCCGCTATTATGGACTCTCGCTAATGAGGACACTAACTCGAGGTCCTTATTGGCCTTTTTGGCGCCCTTTTTGCTTCTTTCTGGAAAAAAAAATACTGTCTCAAAGAATTTTTTTGCTGTTAGCATTATTGAAAATGCCTAAAATTTAACAGTGTTGATGTTACAAAGCCACAAAATAAAGTGTTTAGTGTTATCGAAGCACCCCCATTCAGATCCTCAAAACTAACTGAGCTAACTCAACCTCGTTCTCAGGGATTCTCGGCGTTTGCCGTTCATATTTTTTCCGGCGATAGCCTGAACTTTAAGTATTGAAGTCATTCTACTGGATATCGCAAATCTCTCCTGTTCATTGAATTAATTATAACAATAATAATAATAATAATAATAATAATGAAGAAATGAAATTTTAATAGTAATATAGGAAATAATTTGCTTTCTTGAAACATATCATTCCCCGAGCATAACACCCTAGCTAGAAAAGATGGAGCTAAAACACTGGGTCCACTTAATTGTTCCTGAAAGGGCCAGACGGTTTATGAGCTAAGAATTAGATTTAACAAGTTTAGTTTTTAGTTAAAAAAAAAAAAAATGGTTGCAATCACGTACTTAGTTAAATATTTTCACAAAAGTCATTATTTTCAGTTAATGTATTCACAATCATACAATCATTCACTAATTTAAACAAATGAATATTGTAATAAAAGTTCTTCCTGCCGTATGCGCATGATGCATACAAACACTTCCATTGAAATTAACTTAATTAAACGATTTTTATTTATTCATTACAGATTTTTTAAAACAAATGACGTGAAGGAGCATTCACAATTTTATTATTATTATTATTATTATTATTGTTATTATTATTATTATTATTATTATTATTATTATTATTATTATTATTATTATTATTATTATTATTACCTACAGACAGCCAGCTCGGCTATTTGTCATTGGTGGGAAAGAGATCGTGTCAGCAGAAGAAACAACACAGGGCGATCCGCTTGCTATGGGTCTATATGCCTTAAGCATCCAGCCTTTAATTACGAGTCTACAAGCAGCGTCCAGTGTGAAGCAATGTTGGTTTGCAGATGATGCTAGTGGAGCTGGCTCCATTATGGAAATTAGGACGTGGTGGGATGCCCTTAGCACCCTTGGTCCGGATTTTGATTATTTTCCGAACGACAGGAAATGCTGGATCATCGCAAAACCAGCTAAGGAAGAAAGTGTCAGGGAAGCTTTCAAGGGCACTTCCATTAACGTAACAGTACAAGGGCAGAAACACCTTGGGGCGGCAATAGGATCAAGGGAGTATTTAGAGGAATATGTCAGCGAAAAGGTGACCAATTGGATCAATGACATAGCTAAGTTAGCCGAATTTGCTCTATCTCAACCACAAGCGTGCTACGCAGCCTACACCTTTGGCTTGAAACATCGGTGGACGTACTTTTTAAGAACTTTGCCGGACATTCAAGATCTGTTAGAGCCATTAGAAGATGCAATATCTCATATGCTAATTCCTGCGATTACTGAGCGCAAGTGTAATCAGCTGGATAAGAATATTCTAGCGCTGCCAGTTCGCCTGGGTGGCCTGGGCCTGGGAAACCCGTCCCTTGAAGCAAGGCGCGAATATGCTTCGTCTGTCAAAGTAACAAAGCCCCTTGTT